GAACTTGGAGCAGCGACCTACACTCGTCACATTCGCCTCAACTGCCCCCAATGTACCCGGGCATTCACGCAATGTATGGGCCTCTTCAGCGAAATGCGCATTCGCGAAAACCTGCGGTAGACAATCGCCGGCTACACCACACAATCACACCTTCCCCACCCCAACACTGGAATCACACATCATCATCCACCGCAGGCAGCTACTTGTCACCTCCGACGCAAGTGGGAGGTGTGCGTCTTGACTCCGTTTCCATGCGCCTACACAGCTGCATGTGTAACTCGAGTCTGAGACTATCAGGGCACGTCACGCGCCTTGGCTTGGAAGGCTGCTGACTGACGTCCCGAATCGGTCCACGCAGTCCGTCCAGTTGTGTGTGCGTGTGCCCCAAATGAGCCACGTGTTAGATGAGCTGGACACACAAGGGGGCCACATCGGACTCTGGCAGGCGTTATCTGTGCCCAATAAAAAATGCCAACATTTGCGGGATGCTGGGGCAGAGCCTGTTGAAGACAGTCTTCGCACAACTGGGACCAATGCCAACGCTCCATTGTATTGTGGTTCAAAATAATGGTAATTTGTTATGTCGACCAGGGGGTGTGGTGGAACGCCAAGGTAATGATCCGTCCGAGCCATCCATCTGCGGCCTCCATAGTTTCCGGTCTTCTTGACACTGTCTTGACACCGGGCTCAGGCGGGGGAGGAGGAGAGGGTGTAGGTAGATGCAGCGAAAGTCTACTGGCATTATAAACGCCTGAGCAAGTCACCGCCCTGCTCCCACCGCTGCTGCTGTTGTGGAGCCCACGGTGAACATCGCCGAAATCGATGGTCGAAATATTGTGTGTGTGAGGGTGTGAGTGTGTGTAGGCGGACGGGTGGACGGGTGGACGGACCATCGCCTCGTCATCTCGAAGATGCGTATTCGCCTACAGCCTCGCAGGAGACCACAAGGTAAGCGACCCCCAGGTAAGTTGAATGTTGCTTTGTTGTCTTTGCCCGCTCACCATCTTCATTTCAGCAATGAGCTAGCTCAACGGCTAGACAACCTCCCCATCGCCGATGCCGCCGCTGCCGAGAACGCCTCCGTGGAGAACCGCTGGTGTCAACTGCGAGACATGGTCCAGTCGACGGCACTCGCCCTCCTCGGTCGCGCTCCCCGCCAACACCAGGACTGGTTCGACGACAACGACGCCGCCATCAGAAATCTGCTTGCAGAGAAGAACCGCCTACACAAAAACTACGTAGATCACCCCACTGAGGACAACAAAGCTGCCTTCTACCGCAGTCGCAGACAGCTTCAGCAACGACTGCGTGAGATGCAGGACGCCTGGACTGCTCGCAAAGCTGAGGAGATCCAAGGGTACGCGGACCGCAACGAATGGAAGAACTTCTCCTCTGCGATCAAAGCTGTCTACGGTCCGGCGACGAAGGGCACTGCTCCTCTCCTCAGCGCTGACGGCAACACTCTCCTGACTGAGAAGACGCAAATCCTGCAGCGATGGGCCGAGCATTTCCGAGGCGTCCTCAACCGCCCCTCCGTCATCTCCGACGCCGCCATCGAGCGTTTGCCGCAAGTGGAGACCAACGTGGACCTCGACCTCCCGCCATCTCTCCAGGAAACGATCAGGGCCGTGCAGCAGCTTTCCAGCGGGAAAGCACCCGGATCGGATGCAATCCCTGCTGAGGTCTACAAGCACGGAGGTCCCCAACTGATGGATTACCTGACTGCGCTCTTCCAGGAGATGTGGCGTCAAGGTGAAGTCCCGCAAGATTTCAAGGACGCAACCATCGTGCATCTCTACAAGCGCAAATGGAATCGCCAGGTCTGCGACAATCACCGCGGCATCTCCTTGCTGAACATCGCCGGGAAGATCTTCGCTCGCATCCTTCTCAACCGCCTCAATAACCATCTGGAACAGGGCCTTCTGCCGGAAAGCCAATGCGGTTTCCGTCGTCATCGTGGGACCACGGATATGATCTTCGCAGCCCGCCAACTTCAGGAGAAGTGCCAGGAGATGCGGACCCACCTGTACTCTACCTTCGTGGACCTGACGAAAGCCTTCGACACGGTGAATCGGGAAGTACTGTGGAAGATCATGCAGAAATTCGGCTGTCCGGAACGATTCACTCAGATGGTGCGTCAGCTGCACGACGGTATGATGGCGCGAGTCACGGACAACGGAGCTGTCTCAGAGGCATTTGCAGTGACCAACGGAGTGAAGCAGGGCTGTGTGCTGGCACCAACCCTCTTCAGTCTTATGTTCTCTGCCATGTTGATGGACGCCTACCGCGACGAACGCCCCGGGATCCGCATCGCCTACAGGACGGACGGTCATCTCCTGAATCCACGGCGAATGCACTTCCAATCGCGCGGATCCACAACCACCGTGCACGAACTCCTCTTCGCCGACGACTGCGCCCTGAACACCACCTCGGAAGAGGAGATACAACGGAGCATGGACCTGTTCTCCGCCGCCTGCGAGAACTTCGGTCTGGTCATTAACGCGCAGAAGACGGTGGTGATGCACCAACCGCCACCCAACTCAGCCACAGCCCCCAACGCGCCGCCGCAAATCAACGTGAACGGAACCCAACTGCAAGTGGTGGAGAACTTCCCGTACCTGGGCAGTACCCTCTCACGCAGCACGAAGATTGATGACGAAGTCGCCAACAGGATCTCGAAAGCCAGTCAAGCCTTCGGTCGCCTCCAAAGCACAGTTTGGAATCGTCATGGTCTTCAACTAAGCACGAAGCTGAAGATGTACAAGGCCGTCATCCTGCCGACGCTACTGTATGGGGCGGAGACTTGGACGGTGTACACGAGACAGGCACGCCGACTGAAACACTTCCATCTCAGTTGTCTTCGTCGCATCCTGAGACTGAACTGGCAGGATCGAATCCCCGACACGGAAGTACTGGAACGGACGGGAATCCTCAGCATCTGCGCCATACTGAAGCAAATGCAGCTGCGCTGGAGCGGCCACCTGGTGCGCATGGACGACGAGCGACTACCCAAACGACTCTTCTACGGAGACGTCGCGACGGGTTCTCGCCGTCAAGGAGGCCCAATTCGTCGATACAAGGATACCCTGAAGTCCTCCCTGAAATGCCTGCAAATCAACCCCACTAACTGGGAGGAGCTCGCACTCGATCGACCGACCTGGAGGAGGACAGTGAAGACAGGCGCTGCGATATACGAAGCCAACCGCATCGCTGCCGCCAAGGTAAAAAGCGAAGCCCGCAAATCACAACGTCGCCCAGTAAGCAACGTCGCCGCACAACCGCTACCTACGTGTCCTCGATGTCAACGGACATTCCGGGCTCGAATCGGACTTGTCGGACATCTTCGGATCAACTGCGCCTCTCGAACGGCACCAACCATCGTCCCCCCGCCCGCCTGCCTCTTCCTCCTCCTCCTCCTCCTCCTCCTCCTCCTCCTCCTTCTCCTCCTCTTCCTCCTCGCCCACTGCTCCAACGGCGGCCGCTCAGGTGACTGTCCCGCGCGCAACAACCGACACTACCACCACCTCCCCCGACTCCAGGGATGAGGATCAGGACTAAACCTGCCCTCACTGCGACCGCACCTTCACCTCACGCATCGGCCTGGTCGGTCACTTGCGAATCCATCGCACAGAGACTGGCGAACCAGTGCCTGGAGCACCAACCTACACCCACCCCACTCGCCTCCACTGCCCACACTGCCCTCGCACGTTCAGGCATCGCATGGGCCTTTTCGGCCACATGCGCATCCACGAGAGCGGCCTTGGCCGCACTCCCGACACACCCACCACATCCAACACATCCACCGTGCACACCCCCACCCTCGTTCCATCCGTCCGCGCCACCACCACCACCACCGCCTCCTCTGTAGCTGACACTGACACCGCCGACTTCTCATGCCCACACGGTCCACGCACATTCACCTCACGCATCGGCCTGGTCGGTCACTTGAGAATCCATCGCACAGAGACTGGCGACTCAGTGCCTGGAGCACCCACCTATACCCACCAAGCTCGTCTCAACTGCCCACACTGCCCTCGCACTTTCAGGCATCGCATGGGCCTAATCAGTGACATGCGCATCCACGACGACCTGCGGTAGACAACCGCCGGTTACACCACACATCCACACACTCCCTAACTCCTCCACCACCACCATCACCCCACCAGAAATCAACACTCACACACCTCATGCACCCAACTGCTACCTCCCACGCAAGTGGGAAGTCCGCATCTCGACTCGGTCCCCATGCGGCTTCGGCTGCACGGGTGACTTGTGCCCGAGACTATCCCCACACGTCAAGCGTCGTGGATAGGAAGGTTGCTGATTGAGGCCCGCTCTCGGTTCACGCAGTTCGTCACGTGTGTGTGTGTTGTGTGTAGTGGCGGACTGGTGGGCTGGAGACGGGCTGAAGCAGCACCTTCCACGGCCCTCTCACGCAAGTGGGAGACACGCCGTTCTTCCCCCGTTGTGTGAAATCCTGGTGTTTGTGTGTGTATGGGGGGCCAGGTCGTGCTGTGGCGCGCGCAGGCATGGTCAGTCGACCATGACAGCCACCGCGCCCATTCCCCACTCCAGTCTGCTGACCGGCTCGGACAGCGGCTGGGGTGTGGGAATGGGA